GTGTGTGTGTGTGTGTGTGTGTGTGTGTGTGTGTGTGTGTGTGTGTGGTAATGATCTAATGCAAAGAGCCCTCAGTTCAAGGTCTACTGACCTAAGTTCTAGTCATGGTCCTGCCATTAACTTGCTGTCAGATGCTGAGAAAATCTCTCATCCTATCTGAAACTGGTTACACGATATGTTAGACGAAGACTTCAGACTAAATTACTTCCCTTCTAGCTTAAATGCTTTGATTCCTAATGGAGAAGGATCCAAGATAAAAGCCACAGGGAGCTAAACAGAAACTTGGCCTGGGAACTATGAACTATGGGACAGTATGGGAGATAAAAAGAATGTACTTGGTCCTTATATCTGAGTGCCCTCCCCTCTGTCAGAAGAGCTCCCAGTGCAAGTGTTGGTTGAAAGAATAATTGGTGTGGCTAAGATAGCAGGGAGACAATGCCAGTTAGAGCCAGGATCATTTCTGAAATGGTCACTATTAGTGTAAAGGAGGGGGAGAAGAGGAGGAGTTCTTAAGGTGTTTACTGTAGGAACCAGTTCAGGGTAGAGCAATGTTGGTTTAAACTAATTCATTGTCCTAAGGCAACTAGGTGACCAAAGGGCTGGGCCTGGAGTCAGGAAGACCTAAATTCAAATTGACCTCAGATTAGCTATATGACCTTGGGCAAGTCACTTACATTGTTTGCCTTGGTTTTCTCATCTGGGGATAAAAACAGTACTTATCTATCAGTGTTGCTGTGAAGATAAATGAGGTAAGATTTTTACTGGACCTGTCACATAATAGCACTATATAAATTCTTATTCTCTTCTCTCTTCTCCATTGTTCTGGGTCTAGATAAAATCAGTTCCTTGAAGAATGGAAGGGATTGGTGTTTTAGGGCTCCACACTATGGAGTGAGGGAAAAAAAAAGTATTGTAGAGGGGCAGCTAGGTGTCACAGTGGATAGAGCTCTGGCCTTGGAGTCAGAAGGACCTGAATTCAAATTTGGCCTCAGACACTTAACACTTACCAGCTGTGTGACCCTGGACAAGTCACTTAACCCTGATCGCCTCACCAAAAAGCAAAAACAAATAAATAAATAAAAGTATTGTAGAAGTCAATATGGTAGTAGGAGGCCAAGGCTTTGGTGCTATAGGGAGTGGGGAAGGGGAGGTCAAAAAAGTCAGTAATGAGATCTAGGGAGTCAGTGTTAGGATTGAGGCCAAAACTGGCAGTTTGAGGAAATCAGTGCTTGAAGGATTGGGAGTCATACTGGGGATTGGTCAGTGCTATTAAGATTGAGGATTCTCTTATCTGACACCCGATTTAGGCATCTCTTCTTTTAATGTGGCAATGGGAAATGTATTCTCCAGTGGTAGTAGGGGAAAACCCTTTTCTTTGACTATTAAAGTTACTTTCCTAAGAGTGCTTCATTGGGAGGGAAAGATGCTGAGTGGAATATGCAAGGAGGATTTTAGTTTTAAGAAACTAGTGTTAGGGACCAATTAGAAGTAATGTAGAGGGTCATTGTTAGGGAAATAGATGCATCTGCACTAACACTTTCTTTTCTGATGTGCTCTTTTGTTATATACAGTTTTAACTGGATCTGCTAACTAAATATTTAGTGTAACTATACCTGAACTAGGCAACTTAACGACTGACTTTGCTTCTTTTGGCTTTTGGAGTCATGGGACCCACCCAGATCCCTGGGTCCCTGTATTTACCCAGGTTATACTGGGTGGTCACAAAAAAGGACACAGAGGAAAAGATATGCATTTTTCAGGTTAGGTAGTCCAGCAATGTATTTCATGTATGAGAAAAGGTATGCCAGACCTATGTATACAAATTGTGTGTGTGCCGTCCCTGTGAGTGTTTGTGTTTCTGTGTTCCATTTAGGCATTCAGCAGACATTCAACAAATGTATCTTTCAGGGTACTAACATCCAGGGTGCACTTCCTCCCCCATACCTCCCTCACAAAGTCCTCTCTCTCTCTCTCTCTCTCTCTCTCTCTCTCTCTCTCTCTCCATCTATCTAGAGAAAGGGAACAAGGAAATGTTTTTCTCTGTCATACCCTTAATTTTCATCATCCTCATTGCCCTAGAGAAAGCAAGAAAAATAGATTGTGGAATGATGTCTGCTGGAGGGAGAGGAGAGAGGAAAGAGGACTGGGCACTAGCCCAAAAATTGAGGGCCATTGGTAGGTATAGAAAACTGATCCTACTTTGCTCCTACAGAAAGTCAGCCTTGGACAAGTGATATGACAGTAGTGGCTGGTGATACAGTACAACTCAAATGCGAAGTGAAAGACCCTGATTCCTCATCCCTACAGTGGTCGAACCCTGCTCAGCAAACTCTCTACTTTGGGGAGAAGAGAGGTACTATTTTCTAGGTCATCATGCCTTTGGGTAAGGTGGGGATGGAAGGCAATTTTTAAAGATCAGAGAAGTGGAGTCAGGCATTTCTGAGGACCCCTAAACAAAAGTGATCCAATACTTTTTTTTGAAGAACACCTTCTATTCTCATTCTAGAGAAGCTTTAGGATTATAAATCTGGCCTGGAATAGCTTATGGTTCTGGAGTGGTCTCACTCTAGACGACTCTGAAAAGGATTAGGTTGGCTTTCCAGGGTCTGCTCAGGAATCCAGAATTGAACAAGATCCCACCAACTACACTCTGACTTTTGGTTTCAGCCTTTGCTTGAATAATTTTCAAACCATCATATATGTCTTGATCCTAGAAAGGAAATTGAAGACTCCTTAAAAAAATAGTTCAAGGACAACACCTTCCCTTCCCCATCCTCACCTTTTCTCCCAATGATGAGAAGGCACAACTAGGAAAGAAAAATAGACATGGAAAGTGCTAAGAGTACAATTCGAGATGGGGTGGGGTGGGGGTGGATGGAGGACATGGCTTTCAACTGTCCTGTTTTTCCCTAGCACTTCGAGACAATAGGATCCAGTTGGTGCGCTCCACCCCCAACGAACTGACCATCAGTATCAGCAAGGTGGCCCTGGCAGATGAGGGCGAGTATACCTGCTCCATCTTCACCATGCCTGTGCGCACTGCCAAGTCTCTCGTCACTGTGCTTGGTGAGGAGCCCAAATCCCAGTCTCCCCAGTGTATGTTTCCCCTAGATTATAGGCTCTCCCTTCCAGTTCTCCAGCCCTGTGAAGCTCTTCCCTTACCCATCCTTCCCTCTCTGTCTCGTGTTTGTTTAGTACTTTCACATACATTATATCATTAGATCCTTACAGCAACCCTTTGGGATAGGCAGGGCAAATTCTATTAATTCCCATTTGACAGAATGGAACACTAAGACACAAAGAATTAAGTGAGTCACTCAAAGATATGTAGATGCTTGATGGTGGAACAGGGACTAGAATTTAGGCCTTTTCATTCTCATCTTAGTGTTCATACTACAAGAGCAGTGGTTCAAAAACTTTTCAATCCAAGGACCACTTAGGTGATGACCAAAATAAAAAAAAATCTGGTACACACAGATTTAATCAGGGCCAGGTGACCAAGATTTTGTACCAGGGCACTGACATTCAGGAAACACTTTCTCCCCTACTGCTTTCAGTAGTCCTCCATCCTAATATGCCTGGGCTCTGTTAGTCAACAAGTATTTAATACATGCTTTTTCACTGACTGATTGACTGTCTCACGGTCCTCCAATAGCCTGTGCTATGTGGTATGATTGCCCCTGCTTAATCTCTGCACCCACTAGGGTGGTGGTCCTGTAGCACCCCTCTCCCAAAGGCCACCTTGCCCTATTTGCTACCTCTCATTCCTCATCTCCCCAGTTAGTCAGCAAGCATTTATTAAGGGGTTACTATGTTCCAGGGACTGGATATTTAAAAAAGGCAAAAATATGGTCCCCGCCATGAAGGAGCTTACATTCTAATGAAGAAAGACAACAATACAAATAATTACGTTGAAGGGATTGGAGATTACTGGTTACATTGAAAGGACCTGAGCTGAACTCTGTGAAGGATAGGCTGCCTCCTTTTCTGGCATTACTGTAACCTGGAATAAACCATCTGGGATTTAAAGTCCCCAGAGGAATTTCCAGCTCTTCTTACAGGCAATTGAGATCAAGGTGCCTTTGATACTCTATGACTCTCCCACACCATTTTCTCCATTCCCAAGTATTCTCCTGTGCCAGGCATACTTCCCTCATCCCACAGTAATTGGACTTGCCCAGGGCACCTGATTCCCTAGTTATAGCTCTCCCTCCTTAATGCCCATTCCCACTTGCCAGAGCATAAATACTTTCCAAGGTTCCCTTGGGCCTACTCCACTTTCTGCTATCAGAATCTACTCAATTTGGGAAACAGGAAAGATAGAGGGAGGCCCAACCTTTACTCAGGCATTATTGATTTGAATGACATAATTTTTAGAAATAAAAGGGAATTTAGAAATCTTCTAATACAACCTCCTCCTTTTATAGATGAAGAAATTGGGCCCAGAGAAGTCACATTACTTGCTCCAGGACATACAGCTAGCTAGTCAGTAACAGAGCAGAGGCTAGAAAAAAGTCCAGATTTCTCACCTTTTAGGAGTTATTCTGTTAGAGGCTGATTCTTTAGGTTCCCACCTTGTAGATAGTATTCTTTCTAGTAAATGATTCTTGTTAGTGTTTTGAGAGAAAGAATTCTGGATTGTTCAAAGAGAAGAATTCTGTGGAGTCATGACTCCCTCTGGGCCAGACTGGCAGGTTCCCAAACTTTCTTAGTCCTTCCAACCCTGGCTTTCTCTTATTGGATAACAAGGCTGTATGACTGACTCTTCAGATGGATGGTATTACTCCTAGGTTGGTATTTATAATTTGGGGTTCAGAGAAGGACTCCTTGGGCCCACATGAGTGAAACAGCTTATCTAAGACTATCTTGGAATCATAGAATTCAAGAAGGAGAAGGTTATTAGGAGGTATAAAGTTAAAGAGTCACACACAGTTAGTGGCAGAACTGGGTCTTGTGACTCCTAGTTCATTGATCTTTCCATTACACCACACTGCCTTTCAGTAGTAAGATACCCAGGGACAGGAAGCGGCAGGGCTAGAAGTAGACTCATAGTGCCTCTCCTTCCTATCCTGGCCATACCCCCACCAATCTATGGCAGGAATCCCACAGAAGCCCCAAATCACTGGCTATGTGTCTGCAATCCCGGAGAAGGGGAAAGCCCGCCTTACCTGTCTGTCGAAAGGGAGCAAGCCTGCTGCAGAGATCAGCTGGAGAAAGGGTGATCAGGAGCTCAAAGGTAAGTAGTCCTTCTCCCTACCATATGATGTTTATGTGTATGTGTGTAAGAGTGTATATGTATGTGTGCAGGTGAGTGATAGCTGTGTGTAAGTCGGAAGAAAGGGAAATAACAGATATGTTGTATGCTTATGCACAGATGGGTATAATGATGTATGCTTGTGCTCTATGTCTGAGTATGTCTCTATTGAGATTTTTCTAAGTGTGTTGATGATCACAACTTCAATGCAGCTATGGTGGGGCCCATATGATGTGTATGTGTGTGTGTGTGTGTGTGTGGGTGTATGTGTGTGTAAATGTTGTGGTCCACTGTCTTCTGTACATGTGTGTTTATATGCATTTTCTGTACTATAGGGAAACCAAACATGGTTCAGGAGGATGACAATAAAACATTCACAGTGAGCAGTTCGGTAGAATTCCAGGTTTTCCGGGAAGATGATGGAGTTGATGTCACATGCTCTGTAAAGCATAAGTCTCTGCAAGACACGGACAGGTCCACCTCTCAGCGGATCGAGGTCCTCTGTACGTCCTGGGTTTGGGAAGGTGGAGCAGGGATCACATTTGAGAACCAGAGATAAGCAAGAGTAGAGTTGGGGGGAGGGCAGGGCAGCAATGCAAAGGACAGGAACAATGGAAAAATGGATAAGAGCAAGGGGAGAGGAATGGTGGGGCAGCACCAGTGGAGAAATGGAGGACAGTACAGAGGAATTAGGTACAATAGAGAATGTAATATAGAGGGGCAGGACTCAGGCTCATGAGGCATTCTAAAGTGGAAATCTTGAAGGGTACCAAGATGTCAAAGGGAATTGGGGCAAGGGTTGGGGATGAGTCTCAGAGAGGCTGTGTGGAATTCTGGGCTGACCTCGGTTGTGCTTCTACAGACACACCAACAGCAATGATTAGGCCATATCCCCAACATCCCCGGGAAGGCGAGAAGTTGATGCTACAGTGTGAAGGTCACGGCAATCCCATGTAAGAAAAACCAGTACCTAGTTCCTCAGTCCCCGCTTTATTTCCCACATTTACCCTGACGTGTAGGCCCCATCATCAGTGCCTCCCTAGTCTACCAATTTCTCTGGCCTTGCTTGACAAGTCCCTTCAACCTCCATGTTTTGTCTACAAGGGAGATAATAACAGAACAAAAGCTATGATTTTGGTTTTATTTCTGACTCTCCTAGGAGGCACTTACACCCATTATACGACTTTTCAAGCTAACTGTAATAATAATGCCCATCCATATATGTGCACGTGCTTTGAGACTAGGAAGCACTTTACTCACAAACCTACCTGTGAGGTAGGTGGTGAAAATATCCATCTTTCCTGCTCACCCTGACCCAAGAGTACATGCAGGAGACCTCCTCCTTCCTTCAGGAGGAATGCTTCTCTCCTCACCCAGTGACTGCCTCCCTGTCTCTAGGTAGTTTTCAGAACCCCATCAGCTGCCACAGACCCTGAAAGCTCCTATGTCCATCACCTTCCTAGGGTGAGGATCCAATGAGATAATATTTGTAAAGCACTTAGCATAGTACCTGGCACATAGCACTCACTAGATCAGGGGTGGGGAACCTGTGGCCTTAACCTGTGGCTTTCTAGGTCCTTAAGTGCATACTTATTCAGTCAAAGGGCTGCACCTAAGGACCTAGAAGGCCACTGTAGCCTTAAGGCCACAGGTTCCCCACCTATGTACAAGATGCTCATTTCCTCCCCTCCCCTCACCCCCCCTTGCCACCAGTCTCCCCAAAGCATCTTGAACCCCTTTCTCTGTGACAACTTGACTTCCCCCTGCTCCCAGGCTCTTATTCCTACAGCTCCTCAACCTCCTCTTCCCTGCAGCCCTCTGATCTCTCTGCCTCCACAGCCCCCAGCAGTACGAGTGGGTGAAGACGGGCATCGAGCCTCCACTACTGATGACCCATGAAAGTGCCCTCATCTTTCCATTTCTCAACAAGAGTGACAGCGGCATCTACCAATGTACAGCCTCAAACAACATGGGCAGCCACATAGCCTACTACACCCTTGATGTCAGCGGTGAGCCCTCCTCCTTCCTCCCCCTCTAATCCTCATTCTTACTTGGCTTACCTTAGCCCTAGTCTTCTTCTGCCCTACTTACTCACCTCTCTGACTCCTCTCAGCCATTCTGATAATTGGCCTGAGAAAAGAATCTAGGAAAGAGTTCAGGAAGGCTCTGAGGCAGCTGAGAATTTAGGCTTCAGGTCTACTTCAGAGTGAGGAATACTAGGGAGGAGAGAAGAAATTGGCTGTGCCCCCCATCTGCCTGTTGGAATGAATGGTGGCTATTGCCTCCAACAGTGTTGGTTCTCATCCAATCCTTGTTCTTGTCAAGAAGGGCTATAATCCCTTGGATAAAGCTCTCTAGACCTCCCAAGGCAGTGGACAGCTGCCCTTTGCATACCAGAAGTCTATTCCCTCAAGCCAGTCCTGTTACTGTGCTTGGCAGTAGGGGTGTGAGGGCACATGTTATGGTCTTTTTCCTTCCCTGCAAGCTTTCCTGGGTCCAGGAAAGAGACAGGAGAAAACCAGTCACAATGCAAAGGCACAGTCAAAGTTACTACTGAAAAGCTATACTTTCTCTTCTTAGGACTATAGCTTCCTCTTTCCTAGAGGTTCTGGCTTAAAGCTATGACTCTTGACTAAGGCGAGGCCTCAGGGAGGTTAACAGGCTAAGGGAACATCTCTAAGTGGGAGAGTTGCCAGAGGCTGCAGATCTGTGTAACTTTCCCTTCTCTGGCAGATCCAAATGGCAATGGAGCCCAGCCAAGTATCCTGCCTCAGCCATCTTCAGTATACGAGGTCCCAGGGAGAATAGGAGTAGAGACAGGGGCGTTAAGATCTGGGGTACCCTCAGGGTATTAGAAGAACTCTCATCTGAACGATTTGTAAGAGAAGCTGGGAAATATTCACTACTGAGAGCTTTGAATTCTAGAGCATCTTGGGGTCAGACCCATCTTGTCTACTCAAAAGGTCCCAAGACTTCCAGTCTCACAGGGCCTGCTCAACCCTCAAAACAACATTACTGATAAGCTTACTGCATAACCCCAAGAACCAGGAAAACACAGTGAGATCCAATGAGGTCTCTGCCCAGGAAGCGCCTTAGTCCAACTCTGACAGTGCTTGGGCTTTAGAAGTTATCTCCCCAAAGTGGCCGTGTCCATGAGGATAGCCTCCCACATCCACCCTCAGATCCCACGAATTGTCAAAGGGCCAGGATGAATATTGTTGGATTTAATCTGCCTCATCAGCTACACTGCAGCCTGGTGGTAGAATGGGTTATCACTTGCCCTTCTTGAAATGTCACTGCTGGTAGAGACTACTCTTTCTGGAATTGAATTAGACTGAGTCTTGCCTGGAAACCAGAGAGTGAATAACATGACCTCTGAGACCCTTTCCAGTCATAGGAATTTATGATTCCCAAAGACAATTGCTACCTCCACTGGCTCCATAGGAATCTGAGGAACATTCAACCAGTAATACTTCCCATCTAATTACTGTGGCCCTAAAGTATGTACCCTGGGAGATAGGCCTCAGGGTATGGACTCCAGAGAATCAATGTTGGACTATTTCCTACAAATTATGCTACATGAAATCCCCAGTACTGACCATGTCCTCTCTCACCAACAGAGAATAAAGAGAAAGAATATAGACATTTTATCTTCCCAGGATGCACCAATAGGCAAGAAAATTAAAAAAAAAAAAAACTTGGCTCTTGATTACATCCAATTTGGGGAAACATCAGACCTATGTAGGTCTTGGGCCTTCTTACTTTATCCTTCCTGGGTACTTTATCTGTGACTCTGTCCAGGGATGGTACCATCTCTGCCAACCAACTCACTCAGGCTGTGCCCAGGAGACCTGTCCCCCATGTTTTCAAGGCAGGACCCCATCTCCAGAGAGAAACTACTTACTGTTTGACTATCCTACCAGCCAAAAAGAAGAAAAAAATCTGGCTTATCTCGAGGTGTGTGTGTGTGTGTGTGTGGAGTTCTGAGCCTTCAATTTCAGTTATACTGGAGCAAGACTTTAAGACAGCCCTGTCATAAAGTAACGGCAACCTTCCTCTGGAGGACACAATACCTACTCCCTTTTCTCACTTTATTTCTCCCCAGGGGTCTTCTCTCCCTGACACATCAATTTGCTATCCTTTCCTTACCTGTCAGGTTCTGAACTATAGGTCAGTAGGTTAGTAGTCATCTAGAGGAATCAGCCTAGATTTGAGAAAAATCATCAAGAGCAACAACAATCAGAGAAGATGAAAACCTCTGGGAAGACAGCAGTAAGAAAAGAAAAAGGCAGGGCAATGATCAAAACCAGAACCCTTAACCAAAGGACCCTAACACAATGTTCATTACACTAGACCAGAAATATTGAACCTAATACCCTGACATAACTCCTGACCCAGGCCTTTTGCCTAGGCCTCGTCATGCCCAACCCAAGAGTTTCATAGGGAACAGTGGGGGCTTTGGTGAGGTCTTACCATGCTGCATCTCCCACTCTTAGACCACAGCCCAGTGATCTCAACTTCCAGCACCTACCATGCTGTCATTGGGGGGATTGTGGCCTTCATCGTCTTCCTGCTGCTCATCCTGCTCATCATCCTGGGCCACTACCTGATCCGGCACAAAGGTTAGGGGGTAGAACAGACCTAAGGGAGCCAAAGGGAGAGAGGTTAAGCCAGGTCAGGGGGCAGGGATGGAGGGAGGACCGGCCAAGGCTACAGCACCCCCACGACTTTGAGAAAGGGAAGAGCCTTTCATTGCCGGCACTGTCCCTGACAACCCTAGAAATAGAGTCTGATAATTTGGTGATGATCATCCAAATAAAACAAAACCTGCCCACTCAGCCAGCTGCTGTTCCCATGCTTTTCTTACTTTTAGGGTTCTACCATACACAGCCAGCCACAAGCTCTACATTTTTCATCCCCATCCCAATTCCCTTCATATCCTTCCATGACTAGCTCTCTTCTTCTTTCCCTTCTTCTCTCTGACCCTCTTTCCTTTTTTATCTTCTCTCATCTTACAGCCATAGCTATATCTCTTTTCTCCCTGTCTCTTTATCCTTAGCTTGTTTTTCACTTTTCTCTCAATTCCCCTACAACTCCAATCTTCCCCAAATGTTACTTCTAACCAGTAGCTTGATTGTAAATGCATATCAAAAATGTCAGCCCTAATGCCCATGGGAATTTAACTGTACCATTGAGCATAGTTAGCCCACCCTACCCCCAAACAGGCTTCTTAAGTCCATATGTATATATATATATATTATATGTGTATATATATAATATGTGTATATATATAATATATATACATATATAATATATATATACATACATACATATATATATACATATATATATATATATATATGTATTCATAGCATTGGGGCCACTGAAGACCAGAGGTCAAAAAGAAACCCTAGGTAGGAAAGCCTGGGTAGGGAATATAGGGGAGGTTGGGGAGGGAGGGGCAGAAGATCTGTGGCCTGTGGTGGAGGGAAGGGAAGGGGAAGCCTGGCAATGTAGAATGCCAGAGGCCAGGGACTGCTTCTGAGAGGAAGACCTTGTCTCTGTCCAGGGACGTACCTGACACATGAGGCCAAAGGCTCAGATGACGCACCAGACGCGGACACAGCCATCATCAATGCAGAGGGCGGGCAGTCAGGCGGGGATGACAAGAAGGAGTACTTCATCTAGGGGTGTCTGCCCGTCCATCATGGCCCCCCTGGGGGGGGGCCCACCCCAGGGCCTGCCGGGCCGAGGCACCAACCCGGACTTGTACAGAGCGACCCCAGGGCCGCCCCCTCCCGCTTGCTCCCCAGCCCAGCCCGCCCCCCTGTACAGAATGTCTGCTTTGGGCCAGGTTTTGTACTCGGTTTGGAATGGGGAGGGGTGGGGCGGGAGGGGAAGAGAGGGTTGCCCTCGGCCCTTTCTGTGGCTTCTCTGCGTTTGGGTTTATTTTTTATTTTTAACAATCCCAGAATCAAATCCGTGTCCAGGCTGGAGGGGGAAGGGGCCCTTTGGGTAGGGGAGAGAAGAAACTGAAGGGTTAAGAGAGGAAAAGCAAAGGAGTAAAGAATAGAGAGGTATGAACAAAGGAGAGATTAGGGTTGGTCCACTTTGGAAGACTGTCCATCCCTAGAGCAGAGCAATTTTCTCAGTCTAATGTGGCAGGAGCCAAATCTCCAGAAATGGGGTGGGTCACGCTGTCTTGGGCTCCAGGTAAGGGTGTTGTTTTTTGCTTTCTGTTTTTTTTTTCCTCAGATAGCTAGGAACCAGTTGGGCAGGAGTGAGTAGCAGAGGGTTCTGGAAACTTTGAGTTCTCAGGAACATTGCCATCATGGCACTGGAGAGGCCAGACTTTCTACTTTATCTTGGACCAATCCCCCCACCCTCATCCCCTGACAGGGAAGGAAAGGGACTGGGAATCAGGAACAGATACTAGAGAAAGGTACCAGTCAGTGAGGCAGGGGTACAGTGCTTCATACTGAGATGGAAGCTAAGACCTGCAGAAGGGAAGAAGTCTCTAGTGAAAGAGCAGCTGAGGCTGATTTGCCACTCCCTTCCCGCCCCCCCACTCCCAACTCCTAAGATTTATATAACATCACATCGCCTCCTGCGGTCCCCTTTCCCCTTCTTCAGAAGCAGCACAGCCAGGGGATCGGGGCATGACAGGGGGAAAAAGGAACAGGGAGGGCCAGGAAAGGACAGCAGGGCAATACTGTCTCCTTCCTTTCATGTCAGCAATGAGAGAGGAAATGCCCTGGGACCCAAACTTAGCTTGCTTTCCCCTACAAAGGGGACCCAACTCCTCTCCAAGGCACTGAACTGTTGCATGGCAACCCCCTCCGAGGCATTACAAAACAACCAGCCCTCCCCTCCTGTGCCATCCCTTGCCAAAGCCCCTTACCCCCAGCAGACAGATATAACAACAGCATTTGCAAACAAAAAACCTAGAAAGATCTTAACTGCATGGAGCTGTTCCCTGCCCAAGACCCCAAGACAAAGAGAGTTCGGGAGGCCCAGGGGTAAATGGTGACTGTGGGAAGGCATACAAAAGGGCTTTGGGAGGTTAGGGTACATACCTCATCCTGGAATGATACCCGTCCTAGTCTTAACCATGCCACCCCCACCAGTACCCATCTGCCTCAAACAGAGGAATCTCAGGGTGGGTCTCTGCTCAGCACCTCCCCCCCTTCCATCACCCTCACCCCCAGAGGACACACATACACACAAACACACACACAAACCCTTCCCCACCCCTCTCCTGCCATTGTCTGTGCCACAGTCCTTGCTATGCACACCCCAGGCTTCTCCTGGATACATACCCTGTAATACCCTCACTACCCACTCCCTTGCCCCCCTATCCCCACCCCTAGTCTGCTCAGTGGGTTGATGGGCCAGGAGGGTTGGGGATGAGGTCTCCTGTCTTTGCATCCCCACCCTTTCTCCTTATCATCCATTTTGCCTCCTTGGCCCTGAGCTGGTTGCTATGGAGACAAGGCCTGCTCACACCCTGCCCCCCATCCCACCCTGCTCAGTCCCACTGCTTTAGGAAGCTCCTGGCCTACCCCAACTCAGGACCAGGACTCCTTTTGGCACTCTCCTCACTCTTCTCCCAGCCTATGCCAGCTGCCCCAAGAAGAATGGTGGGGAGGAGGGGCATTTGCAACCTGTCAAGGAAACCCACCTCTCTCCCTCCCTGCCAAAGTGTTCTCCCTTCAGTTCAGGTAATGCTCTTCTGAATCTTCCCAACTCTGGGCACAGCAGGCAGCCCCACACCCAGACCAGGGGCCTAATCCCCCTCCAACAGAAAGGGACCCTGGGACCCCAGCCCTGCTGGGCTCTCCATCCCTGGCATCCCCTTTCAGGACAAACAACTCTAACTCTTTTGAGCTGAACCACTCTGTCCATATACACAGAAGCCATATTTGTACGGGGAGGGGGCGGGGGGGGCCTGTTGTGCTGTGTGTGTCTGTCCAGGGAGGTGGGAGGGGAAAGGATGGGATGGGAGGGGATCGTGTATCTTTATAACCTTTCTAATTCTCCTGTACTAATCTCAGAGGGGCTACCCCTCAATATATCTGGATTATCCGTGTCACTGGGATGTTTCGTGTTTTGCTCATGCTGTCCACGCAGGTGGGGGGAGAAGAGGGGAGGGCAGGATAGAGCGCAGGACGATAACTCCCTGAACAATAGAATAACTCTCAGAAGAAAGGATCTATGTTGCTTATCTTCTCTCGTATTTGCTGAGTCCTTTTTGCTCAAGAGCAAAACTGGGGACTGGGGCTTCTTCACAGCTCTTCATCCCCAAACATAGGAATTCTGGGAGAGGTTTTGAAAGAGGGCAAAAAATATCCTTTCTAGGGAGGGTGGCATAGCTAACATTTAATAATAATAAGTAATATTTATATGGGACTTTAAAGTTTGCAAAGAATTTTACATACATTATCTCCTTTGATCCTTACAACAACCCTGTGAGGTAGGAATTATCATTACTCCTGTTTTGCCCAGGAGGAAACTGAGGTTAAGTGATCAGTAACATAGCTATTAAGTGTTTGAGGCTGAATTTAAAACCAGATCTTCCTGCCTCCAAGTCTAGCACCCTAGCCACTAGACTACCCAGTATGAGCTCCTCTCCATGGGCTGACCTCTACAATTCTGTGATCTCTAGGACATTTTGCATTAAAAGCAAAAACCTCCCCCAACACTATTAACTCTACTTTAGTATAAGACGCCTTTCCCAAAATTCATCTTATCATTCCACTGCCACTATTTTCTGTCTCAGATGGACATCCTAGGAGGGACCTGGGCAGAGACCCCAGGGTAGCACCTAAGCAGCCTTAACTCGGCCATGCCAAAAGCCCAGGACACTCCCTGAACATCTTTGAACTACTATTCTTTCTATACCACTGAGCCCGATTCCTCATGTCCCAGACCCCTCTAACCTTGAGCCCAGAGGTATAACATAGTTGCAAGAATTGGCCAAGTAGTCAAAACAAGAAACTGAGACCGACGTGGGATTGGAACAGGTCCACCAAAAAGGAAAGTCATTTCTTTGGAGGTGATGATCCACAAAGGAAGGATAGCATCTTCTCATGACCATCACTGGCCTACCCATTAGAAGTTGGATCACTGCACAGTAGACTGCATAACCCCAGCTGCCAGGCTAACAGGAAAAGTTACTCTCACCTCAAGCCTCTGCTGTGACATCCCCCACCTAGACATCCCAGGGGAAGTAACACCACAGACTCCCAGAAAAATGGAAAATTGCCTCTGAGGGTAGCCTTCTGGCCTGTCACCCCCCTAATCCCTTCCCACTCACACATTGAACAAACACAGTCAGAAAGAACCAGGCTAACACTCAGACACCCACCTCTTGTGACACATACCACTCAAACTGATACACAGGGACACACCCACACATCAGCACACTCACATTCAGCTGCCTCAGGATAGGCAACAATGTAATATACTCAGACTGGTATCTAGAAAACCTACACACTCCACATATACCATACACACACATCCAACCACAGGCTACCACTAACAGCCTCTCTTGTTCCCAAGGAGCTCTTGGTGCTCCCAGGATTTTCCTAGAACCCAGCCTGAAAGAGCTGGAGTGATGGAGGACATCACTAGGCACCATTTCCCCTCCATTTCCCAGAGCCCTTGGGGTCTCTCTATTTTTCTCGCCTAACCAGTCTTCTCCCTGTGGAAAGTCCCAGCTTCTTTGCCCCTCCACCCACCTCTAGGAGAATGGCCACTTTCCAGCCCCCACCCCTTTCCTTCCCAAGCCAATATTGGCCCCCAAAGCAGGAAGCTTTAGGTGTAGTACTACACTTCCTGAAGATTCTGCCTCTTACTCCCACCCTGTCCTGACTCCACCCTATCGTCCTACCCCGGGGCATGAAGTTTCTCATTAGCCCTTAGCTCTTATCTTGGAGGCTCAGACACCAACGCTGGCATCTCTGTCCTTGGCCCACCCTGCCTGCCCTGAGCTCAGCACAGAACCATGGGGAACTGTTTGCATCGGGTGAGTGTGTGGGCCAAGACTCAAAGATCCCTCATCCCGTGCTTTCTTGTTCCTCATTTTTAACACTTACTCCCGTCTCTTCTCACTCCTCTCCTCTCCTCTCCTTATTTTGGCTCATCTTTTCTCTACTTATTCATTGCTTCTTTTTTCCCCTCAACCCTCCTCACCTCATTTCTCATCCTTCCTTCATCAGCCCTTTCCTCCTAACTGCTTACTTTTTCCTCTTTAGTTTTTACCTCTTCTTTTTTCCCCATCTCAACCTTCACCTCCTTCTCTCTTCATCCTTTCTACTCATTCCCTCCTCAACCACTTACACCTCCCTCCCTTCTCCTCTCATACCTTCCCATCTTATCTCTCACTTCTTCCCTCTTCAATTCTTTCTTTCTCACATTTCCTTTCTTAAACACTCATTCTTATCTTTTATCTCACTCCAATCACTCCACACTCCTCACACATTTTCCCTCTCATCACTTACATCCCTTTACCCTTCTTTTTACTCTTCTCAGCTTCAAAGCCCTGGATACCCCATTAATATCTCATTCTTTATCTAGACTTTGAACTGAACCCTGTCCTCATTCTCTATACTCTTTGACAGACCCCAATCCCTTGGGACTGATTCTCCCCTCCCAATTTTCTCTATTATGGCCCCTTATTTTCTTACTCGTCCCTACTCCCTTGGTCTTATCTTCTTGCCACCTTCCCTGATTTCTCACTCTACCGGTCTCCCTCACTCTCTTAATCCCAGACCTCCCCCCCACCCCCACCCTGTTTCTCCCTCTCCTCTCCATTCTACATAATATAGGTGGGAGGAGGGAATGAACAGGTTCTCTGAGCAGCCCCTTGTGGTATGTTTCCCAGGCAGATTCCGGGCTTCGGAACTCCGAAAACTGGACCATCAATGTTTTGGATGACGAGTGGGACGCTCTGTGGAATGAGACTTACAACTACACTGATGCTGACCTGGACCTGGCTGCTCCTTGCCGTTCCTGTTCCCTGTTAGATAGGTCCTCACTGCCCTTTTTTGCTCTTACTAGTGCCTTAGGCATCCTAGGTGGGGGGGCATTGCTCTTTGTACTCCTCAAACCCCTGGCCTGCTGGCAATTATGCCCAGGCCGGACCATCCTGGCGCAGGTGGCTGGGGGCAGTACCCTCTTCAGCATTGTTTTGCCCATCCTGGCACCAGGGTTGAACCCTAGCCCACACATTGCCCTCTGTTGCCTGGGACATGGGCTCTGGTACGCCTCAGCTTTTGCCCAGGCTCTGCTGGTGTGTGTCCATGCCTACCTAGGTCCTGAACTGCGCCAAAGCTGGCTCCTCAAGCTCTCACTGGCTCTGTGGGGAGTTGCCCTGCTGATGGCCTTGCCTGTCGCCCTGGCTAGTGATGTTACCTCTGGACTCTGCACCTTGTTATTCAGCCATGATGTGTGGGTTTGGTATGTGGTCCATATTGTGGTCTGCATTGCCATTTTCCTCATTTTGCCCCTGGGCCTGGTTGGAGGATGGATAGTACGGAGGGTAAGAGGTGGCGGGCCAAGGCCAAGGGCTAATGTCCTGTGGGCCTGGTTCCTGTTCTGGTGGCTCCATGCAGTGGCGATGGGGTTTGATGCCCTGGTACGGTCAAATGCCTTGGTGATAAATGAGTGTTTTGCCCAGCAGACCCTAGATTTCTTATTAGACTCGGCAAAGATCTTGGGGATATTGCACTGCCTAGCCACTCCATTCCTGCTGGCACTGTTTTGTCACTGTGTCACCTGGCCGCCCACCGTCAACCTCCTCTAGACCTTCCTTTCCCCCACCCCTCAATCCTCCCAGCTTTATCCTGGCATCTGGGCATCCTGGAAGGCAAGTCCCAGTTCTCCCTGCTGCCAATTGACATTAAAGTTTGTGCTGCTATGAAGCTGATAGTTTCTTATTTGGCCAGGGTGGTGGGCCCAATTCTACCTTAGGCACTCTTACCAGCACCTGTCTCCCCAGCTGGTACCAATCAGATGTGCCTGGGAGTATGGGGAAGAGGAAGAGTTACCATCCGTGAGTTCCCAGGACAGAGATTACTCCAGAAGCAGGACGGATGGACACTAAAGGTTCCTTTGAGGTCTGAGATCATTGCCTTAAGGCATGAGAAGAGGGACCAGGGGAAGAATTCCTAAGGGGACTGGTTTGGCAGGTGAGATAGGAAAGGTCTAGGTTGCTGGGGAACCCTGAGGGAATAGATATTGAAAGGGGAAGCTGGAGTGAAGAGGAATGGTGGCAATGAACCTCAGGACTTCACTGATTCTCCTTCAAATGAACTCTCCTATTCCTTTTGCTCCTTTCAGTTCCCTCTTCTTTCTCTCCCTTTTTTTTCTGCCCAGAATCAAGAAAGGAATATTAGGGACCCCACAAGAGCTCATCCCCATTAGGCTACCTCCTCACCTTGTTCTAGAGTAAGTGCCTTGATTCCACCCTAAGAGTTCCTGATTTGGTTACAGATCTCCTGGGTTAAGTTCTCAGTTTCCCTGAATTGCCAGGCAAAAAACCCTTTCTACTAATAGCTCACAGCAATTTTAAAGCTGAAAGGCACATTAGAGGTGGTCATTAATGCCTCCTTCTTTGCTAAAGTCACCCTGTGTGTGTGTGTGTGTGTGTGTGTGTGTGTGCGCTAAATTATGTTTTTTGTGTCCATTTGAAATTCCTTATTATGTCTCCTCAACCCAAGTTCCCTCCTCTCTATTTCCTCTCCTTAATTCTAACTTCTCTTTTCTCTTCTTAAGAGGTGGGGATATGACTCACTCTTCACCTCCTTTCACTTTTTCCCCCCTCCCTGGTTTCCTTGACCTGCCCTCTCTGGGAAGGATAGTGGATACAGAGGAGAGGGTGGGAGGAGGAAAGCTGGAAGGATCCCAAGGAGGAAACTATTAGGTATGTGACCTAGTGGAGGTTAGTTTATGACCCATCCTCTAACTGGAATTGTCTAAATTTCCTTCTACATGTCCAAGTCCTGGGGCCAAGCCTTCATAGATTAATTATTCTTTTTCTCCAGTCTTTGACATCCTAAAGCCTTCTCCCTGCTTACTTTTGGCCCACTAGCCTCTTGCCCATATCTGAACACATACCCAGAACAAGAAATTTTTAGGCCCAAACTCCCCTCCCAAAGGGGGAGCACCATGGAACCCAGAGACTGGTAAGCTAGATAAGCCTGTCCTCACCCTCCACCACCAACAAACACTATGGAAAAAAGTCAAGGCGTCCTTCCACTGAACTCTAACAAGCCTAAAAGCTGCGGGCCAGGAAGTTTTCTGCCCAACAGCTTAGTGGACCCAGATGTACTCATCTCCTCAGATATACTGTACCTGGCTATACTACCCAAGTGGGCTATTTCTCCGTGGACTGGGGTAGGGGCAGGGGTGGACTGAAGAATGCCAGGTTCAGAGAGTTTGGAGTGGGGGGTGGAGAGTGATGTAATTTCCAAATCCCCCCACCTTCTGTTGCTTAGCAACAACCAGACTACCCCCAGATTGGTTGTTAATAAATTGAAGGGAGGGACTGAGTGGCCAAAGGAAACAAGGAAGACATTCTGGAGGGGGTGGGGGTGGAGAAGATATCTCAGAGGAGGAAGAGACAGGTGGGGCTTGAGCTGTGAAGAGGTCCCCAACCTCCCCTATACTTGTATCCTATTGTCTCCACTTCCTCCCTTTGATCCCTTCCCAGTTTCTCCCTCCCACCTTACCATTGTCCACCTAACCCTTCCACCTCCCTCCAGCGTCTCCTCAGCCCCTGTCCCTCTCGATTTTAGAATGCAATCTGACGGATTCAAAGTCTGACCTAGTTAAACTAGAAGTCGTGATGGGGAGATACGTGGCTAATGGGATTGCATTTTTCTATTATTAATTACTCTTGCCTTTAGGTAGAGTTTCCTATTGTCCAGCCTCCACTGCTTCTACTGTAATTCTGCATCATTCCCTTGGGGTTTTCCTTAGAGTACGACGGCCCTATTTACTAATATAGCCCACAGTGCACCAACAAATGCTGAAACTTAGTTCTGAGCCCCACTGCTCCCTTGAAACTTTTCTGGATTTTCCCTAGAGAGACAGATGGTGTATAAGCCACTAGACTTGCAGTTGGGAAGACCTGGTTTAAAAATCTACCCAAAATACTACACAAATCATTTAACCCCTCTGAGCCCCAGTTTTCTTAGCAGGATTGTTACAAAGATTAAATGAAGCAATGATGCATTTAAAGTTCTTGCATACATGTGAACTATTATTATTACAAGGGTCTACTTCTTAGGGCCTTTAAGAATAAGAAATCTTAGAGTTTGGAGGGGCTTCAGCTGAGCACTGTCATCCTGAGGATTTCTGGTGAAAGAGAAAATTTTGTCAGAGAAATAAGAATAGGGAAAGAACAGTCTAGGACTTGGAAAAGAGAAGGAGGCTCCTAGGAGAGTCACTGTGCTATCTCCCCTTCCTGAAGAAATGTGTATGACAGAATCCTTCTGGGTTTTATCACAGATATTCAAATATATTTTGGGGGTGGGGAATCTGATAATGTTTTACATGTTTATTATTGAGACACTTCAGTTATGTCCAACTCTTTGTGACCCCATTTGGGGTTTTCTTGGCAAAGATACTAGAGTGGCTTACCATTTCCTTCTCCAGTTCATTTTACAGATGAGGAAACTGAGGCAAACAGAGTTAAGTGATTTGCCCAGGATCACACAGCTAGTAAGTGTCTGAGGCCGAATTTGAACTGAGGTCCTCCTGACTCTAGGGCCTGTGCTCTATCCACTGCACCACTTTCTGTTTTACATATATTACCAAATAAATAGAGCGCAATATTTATGCTGGTAATCATGATGATGACCAGCTTTGAATGTTGTGTCAAAGATCATCCCTTCTCATTCATCCCCACCCACCAATCCACATCTAATTAGGGCTTGGAGGGTTATCTGGAAGAATTTGGGAAATGGGTTGTTGGGCTCTCCTCTTTTATTACCCATCCCTGGTGCAAGACCTCCTTCCCCTCTAATCCCCTTTCTCCCACCACCACTGTCTGCATCCTTCTGATTCAGAACTTTGCTGGGATTTCAATTCCAATCTGCTGCCAACTCTAATTGCCAGGGATTTGCATTAAAACCATCACACGCTATCTAATTATTCTGACAACAGCCAGCTCGCTGTCTGGGCACAACAACGAGAGAATTGGGGTTTTAATTAACAATAATGCACCTTGCGAATGAGGAATGTGACTGTTTAGGTTAATTAACAAGACCGGGTCCCTTCAAACCATCTCTCGTTGTAGTCCAGGTGATTTGGAGGGTGGGTAGGGGGAGACATCAGCCCAGTGAAAATGCTCCTTGATGTTCTTCATCTTTTTTTTTTTCCTTTTTCTTTTTTTTAAGTAAATACTTGGCAAGCCGGTGGGGGAAAAGTCAAAGAGTCAAGAACCTGGGGAAATTTGATTAGCAGAGCTTCTTGAGCTGATATCCAGAGTTGCTCATATCTGGTGTCTTTAAGTCCAGGCTGGAAATATAGGGTCTGTTTTTAAGCTAAGTTGTATAAACAAGAGAGGAAGTAGGAAACAAGTCATTCTACTCAACCCCTGATTTTCAGACTGTTGCAATTCAAGATGCCCCTAAGGGTCCCTGAAGCTATCCCTTTCCCCATTTCCTTCATTTAGCCATCCCTGGATCTCTTCAAACCTTCCTCCAGGAAGCTTTGCCAGATTAGCTCCACCCACTCTTGTTGTTAGGTAATACTGGTATCCTCTATGCTGGCATAAGAAGTTCACATGTGTTTTTTGGTATCTATGTCTTGGCTTTCCTAACTGACCAGGAAATCCACAAGGGCAAAGGCCATGTTTTCTCTTTTTAATCCTCTCCCCAGTGTCAAACACAGTCTTCTGAATTTGGGGAAAGAGATTATTTCAGGACTGTGGGAGGATGAATTGACTAAGTGGTGAATGCCCTGGCAGTCCTGTCCCACAGCCTGAAAAACATGGCATTAGATAGAGTTCTGGGGTTTCCTCTTAGCCTCACAGGACCCTGAAAACTGAGGAAGATACATCAGAGACTTCGGAGAACCTGAAATGATAAAACATTGAAAATAGGTCCAAAGAGAAAATGTGAAAGGAGAAAGCAAAAGGAATCTAGAGAAAAGAAACTTGGATTCTGGGGAGGAGAGTTAAATACCCTTGGGTCATAGCTCTAAGTCTCTGAAAAGGGAAAGGGAAAACAAGTATTCTACAGATTCACTGACAAGGAAAGTCAGAGCAGGTTGAAACCGCAGCAAGGGAGATTTAGGTGAGACAACAGCTGAAAAGGTGAAATATGGAGGCTGGCTAGCAAGGGATATTGCCTCTGGGTGTCTCTCTGAGTTTAGGTTTATACAAATCCAGAGCCCTTGACCCTATATCCCTTAACTCAGGTGATTTGAAGCAAGAGAGATTGGGGGGATTTTGACAAGGTACTTCAACTATCCATTTAACTTCATAATCTCCATTTTCTGATTTCTAAGATGAGGGACTTAAAATGATTTCCAAACCTTCTGATCTGTGTTACAATGACTGAGATTGGGGGAAACTTTCAATATGTTCTGCAAGCATTATTTTGGGAAAGTCCAGTTTCTTTCCCCCAGGTAGCTTCCTAGGTCTTAGGTTACCTAGGGAAAGGTTAGGTTGGATTATCTCCATGGCCTAAAGGTGAAAGAATCATAAGGAATTTCATTAGGGTTACAAGGCATGAAGAATGCCTTGTCATCTATAGGCAAGAACCCAGTTAAAGGTACTACCACTCATGCAAACACCATCATTCTCAAGAGGACAGTCTCCAATTTAGACTACTCTATAAAAAGATTACCTTCTCTGGTTGGACACACCTATAAAAACCTGGTGCACAGTGGATAGAGCATCAGGTCTAGAATC